AACCGACGCACAAGGGAGGCTGAAATCCCAAGCGTGACCCGTCATCGGTCGACTAGGACGTATTCCACACACCACGTGCACATCACTCTACGAACACAAAAATAAAACACACAGCCACACACATCGAAACAACGCGACAACACTCCTAGTCCATTAGTAGCCATCGCATAACTTTCCGGTGCTGAAACCGAATAGGCGTCACACGCGAGACTTTAATATAAAACCGCGTGGACGCAGGGATGAATTCAAATCGACTGGCAATGCAAGCGTACACAAGCAGTCGCAATGATGACGTACTATGTAGTACCCATACTCATGCGGTCCTCGTTGATCTCAAGGGCCACGTTTGACACTTAAGTGTCGGCTGATACGCACCTTGAGGGTTAGTCTCTCGACGCTGGACAACCGCCAAGTGAGGTCGAAGACCATAACCTCTTCTGCACCCTGCGGAGAGTGGATGGTACACAGGTTCCTGCCTGTGGTGGCAATCGTCCCTTATCGCCTTGGAGACCTGCTCCATCATCTAGGGCCTGGAGAGAAGTCAAGGGTTTTGACTTTGACGGTTGTCACGGACTACAACGTCCAACCATAAAAATCTATAAAAAGCAAAGGATAAGGGGAGGTCTCATCCCCCTCAAAAACACAATCTGTTCAACCCTTACTCGCGGTCACAGTAGGCCGCACGAAGCACTCGAGACATACATATACACATATATATATAAAGGGTTATTAATATAAGACGATCACTTCTCCACAGTTACAGTGAGACTCCTCTCAGCCATATATGTATGTAATCGCAAACAGTCACATCCAAAGTCCGAACCACAAACATACTTGCAATCACATCAAAGATCCAACAAAAGTCCACGCACTACACGGGATCAACTTTAACCATTCTCTATACTCATACCCCTTGCTTTAGCCATACAAACCTCTCTCTTGTGCAACTCCCCAAAATAAATACTCAGTACTTTTGTTAAATGGTCATTCAATAAAGTCCGGGTGAAAATACAATGAAACAATTCAAGCCATAGCGCTAAAGCCTTTAGGTTGAGTGACAAGAGTGAATTCGAGTGAATTGTAAACCGACGAATCGGCAACCGACTTGTTATCAGTGATAACAGAAGATGATCCTCGTACGATCAAGCTGAAACTAGTCAAAATCCTGAATCAAACGGTAAAGAGGACCTGTAACACAAGACAGACCAATCCCCAGGCTAAACCTATAAGTCCATGGAGAATAATCCCCCTATCACGATCTCACTCAAATCATCCTAATTAACTAAGCCTAAATGTACCTCTAAGCAAGTTCCAAAAACAAAGGTAGACCATGGCAGACCCTGACAGAATCTTCTCCATACAGAGTGGGTTTTTCATAATCGCCATCTGTCAAAATATAATCTAACTCCTTCAAACTAATAAAATTTCGGCAGCACTCCCTTTAGAAAGGGAGACTTCCCATATTTCCACTAAGCCATATATATGATTTAGACAAGTTGAACTTTAAAAAGTCAAAAATTTGACCAAGACCCTCCTGGTCTTGGTGTACCTTGTGCCCTTGGAGACACCAAGGGCCAGGTATCACTCCCTTCTCCCCTCTCCCTCTACTAACCCACTCTCCCTACCTCTCCTCTCTCTTCTTATTCACCCCTTCTCTTTCTCCCACCTTCTGCTGCATCTTTTCTCTCCTCCTTTTATCTTCCCCACCCCACCTTTCTCCCACCACCCATTCTTTTACTCTATTTTCTTCATCTCTTCTTTTCTTTCCTTCTTTCTCCTTCTTTCTT